AAATGATCTTCCTTGGATTTATAGCTTGCCGAACTTCTTTCTGGGCTCAGCTCCCCGTCTTTGACTTCATAGATTCTGATTCCAACCAGTTTTTCTTCCTTTGTTCAGGAGCCTCTGACCAGGGTTGCTACCAGTCAGCCATCTTCCCAGAATCCATAAATGTCTACTTTAAAAGTTTTACTTTTATAATTGAAAGTTGTACTTTTTAATCTAGAACAAATCAGCACTGTGCTTTCACATGATTGCTAAGTGTCCGTCTAGTCTAAATTTTTCAATGTAATGTGGAGGTGATACATTACCTTAGGAGACCACAGGGACATGCTACTGAAAACCATTTCACCTGCCAAAAGTTTCCATTTTGCTTATTTAAAGGCCAGACGTGAAAATAGCCTGATGATGACTCTTTCTCCACACATTTCTGACGGTGCCACTGAGGTCCCGGCAGCAGTAAAATGTGGTAAGTCCTGACCCTGTCCCTCTGTGGGTCAGTGTCAGGGTGAAGGGAGGGCAAGGGGATTTGGGGACTAAATCTATCACTTCTCTGGCTTTTAATTTTAACAAAAGAAAAATAGTATTTCTACCTACCACAGACATTACTGAAGAAAATTCAAAACATTCATTGTGAAAAAAACAGTACTCGGGTTAAAATAAAGCTGAGAAAGATTTTACTAAAGGCAAGTACCACAGTACTTGTTATTCCTCCTATTTGAGGAATTTAAATCTGAAACTAGTCCTTCAAATAAGTGTGTTTTGAATAATAATTATATAGCCAGAGCCCATTCTGGTGTCCACACCTCCATTTTTACTTATTTATTTGTCACCCTCTGTAGAGTGCTATAGCATCAAAGCTCACAGCAACCTCAGACTCCTGGGCTTAAGAGATTCTCTTGCTTCAGCCTCCTGAATAGCTGGGACTACAGGTGCTCACCACAACAGCTGGCTATTTTTCTTGTTGTTGTTGTTGCAGTTGTCATTGTTGTTTTAGCTGGCCCCATGTATGTGGCCAGTGCCCTAACCACTGAGCAACTCACACATCCATTTCTTTTTTTTTTTCTGTCCGGGGCTGGGTTTGAACCTGCCACCTCTGACATATGGGGCCAGTGCCCTACTCCCTTGAGCCACAGGCACCGCCCTCACACATCCATTTTCTTTACACATAACATGCCATCTCTCATCTCCCATAGACCTGCCTCTAGCACACAGCAACCATCCGATAAATGCCAATGACCCAGGAATGAACGCTAGACTTGATGTGTTAACGTCATAGTTACTGCTACCACTACTAATTGTTACTAATGTTTATTGAACACTACACACTAGGCCCTGTGCTGATCACTTTACATGCATTACCACGCTACGGGGTAAGTTGATCTCATCAGTTCATCGTTACTATACTCCCAGAGGTAAGCAAACTGTAGCAAAAAGAGGTGAAGTCAGCTAGGTAAGGGGTTCGTTTCACAGTTAGTGACTGAACTCAGGCAGTCTGACTGCAGTGCTTATGATGGGCCAGAGACTCATTTTACATTCTAGAAAGAACGCAATACATATGTAAACAAGTAATCAACATAATGTTAAAAAGTGAATATATATGGAAAAAGACAATAGGATAATTAGATAGAAATGACAAGAGCAATGCAGAAAATAGCCAAGTGCATAAACTCTAGCACCAGGCATGAATCCCAGCTCTGTGTTTATGTTTCCTGTTGGTGGGTGGGTGTCTGTGTTTCCTTATCCACAAGTATAATGCCTGATTCGTATGAGAGAGGCTGAAATGCGTTGATACACATAAAATGCCTAAAGCAGGGCCTGACGTGAATGTTGTATATTTGCTTATTATGGTTCTTGTTCTTTTCGCATCTTTGTTATTATAGTTCTTGTCATGCTGAGGGTTTCTATTTAAGATACGTGGTCTGGGAAGGCCTCTGTGGGGACGTGCATTTGAGCAAAACCCTAAATGACAGGCATATGAAAATCTGAGGACAGAGACTCTAGGCAGAAGGAACCTAAATGCAGAAGCTCTAGGGCCAGAACGCCCAGCAGAAAAGGCCAGTCCAGGCCAGGACGAGTTTGCTCAAGGGGCTTTGCTGGCCATGGGGAGGGCCATGGATTTTTCTTACATGCTGTGAGAAGCTTTCGGAGCATTTTAAGCATGGCAATGACATGCTTTGATTTACATTTTCTAAGTATCTTTCTGGCTTCCAAAGAAAGGTTGGATTATTGCTTCCATAGAATATCAACCTTACCACTCCCATTAGTCATTTTTAAATCTGAGCTTTCTTCCTAGGATAAAATCATTTCCTGGCATTATTTCTGGAATATTTGTCATAGTGCTTTTAAAGGACTTAAGTACATGCGTGTGCATGTATATGAGTGCATGCACACACATATATATGTATACACACACAGCCTCTGAACAAAGATTATGTGGAATCTAAAATTGATATTTTATATGAGTCTAAAATTCTTATGAATTATACCTATTGGGTTTTATAATAGATTCGTATCCTTCTGAATGCAAGTTATTGAATAGTTTACTTATGTGTAAGTTGATCATACAAATTCGTTCATTTTTGTGATACCCAATGAAACCAGTCAAGAGGCAGGGAGAGAAAACAACCCAGGACATAGAGCATTGGCTGAAGAGAGTAATTCTCTACAAGCCCAGCCACTGAAGCTGCCTGCTTTAACCCGGAACCAGTTTTATGTAATTGCTACTGCTAAGACTCCGTGTGACATTGCTGTTTTGTACCAATCAAAACTTGCCAGATCCCCCAAACCTTACAGGGCCACAAACTTTCTCAAAGAGCCATAAGTGACATTCCTCTCTTTATTTGGTTTTAAAACCCCTAACCTTCTCTTTGTTCTCTGGACACGTTGAAGACCATTCTGAATTGCAATTCTTGACACCGCCCGGTATGTGTCTATGTCCCGCATTGCAATTCTTGATTCCCCACTAAAACTTGTAACATTTAGAGATTCAGCTCTACTTTGATAATTACTGTAAATTAGATATAAAGGGAGGAGATTCTGCAGGTGCCATTTACATTTCTGTCCTATGGCCTTACCAGTGATTAGTCCCCAAAGAAAGGAAGCATTGCAAATGCGACTGGGTGGAACCAGGTATATTTTACCAGCAGGAGTCGTTACTTTCCCGTATCTTACACTTGCCCCCAGCCTTATTCCCCCAGACCTTTCCTCCCCAAGTACACCTTGGTTTAAATAGGTTGGAAGTCTGCTGAAGCCACATTGTACAACTCATTGATACCAGAAAATCCTCATAGGAGTTCTCCAGCTTCAAAACAATTATTTAATAAAGTCGTCTGTTGAGACCACGTGTAGAGATGGGTAGACATCAGTGGAAGAAGAGCATTTCTAGGTCCCTGGTTATGTTTACTACCATGGTAACATCAAATCATCACCTTCAATATCTAACCTGTAAGGCCATCAATGCATTTAAAAAGAACATTATACCCACACTGACACAAATCTGCAAGTCACATATATAGGTGAACTAAAACCACAATGCCATTTGTTTGAAGACTCCTCTTCATTCCTCTAACTCAGTGGTTCTCAACCTGTGGGTCGCGACCCCTTTGGGGGTCGAACGACCCTTTCACAGGGATCGCCTAAATACATCCTGCATATCAGATATTTACATTACGATTCATAACAGTAGCAAAATCACAGTTATAAAGTCGTAATGAAAATAGTTTTAGGGTTAGGGGTCACCACAGCATGAGGAACTGTATTGAAGGGTCACGGCATTAGGAAGGTTGAGAACCACTGCTCTAACTCATGAAGGCTTTAGTCTTAAAAGTTAAAAACTACAGCTGTATAGAGTGAATTGCTTTACCTGTACGGTCGGGGCCTTCCTCCTTGACTTCTGTGGTTGCCGCAGAAGAGATGGGTGGACTAACGGGAGGGCTGGAGGTGAAGCCGGTACACCCTGCAGATGTGTTGATTTCGAAATATTCTTGGTTGTGATTCATTCGATGAAAATCCAGTGACGACACAATGGACGTGCGTTGTTTTGGCTAAAATAAAGGAGCAAGACAAAAGTATTAATAGGACCACGTTCACCTTCAGCCCCATCTCCCATTGATTTCAATTTTACCTAAGTGATGATTTTTTCCTCCTCATTAAACTATCTGGGTTTTACACCTAAAATTGGGCTTTACCAAGAGACACTAAATAATCACTTGATGAATTAAATGACGAAAAAATCATCTGATGAAAAAACTGTTTGATGAAAAAATATTATGGCATAGTTGATATGATAATTTAAGCTTTTCATTCGATTTCCCCCAGAAAATTGTAAAAATATAGTGCACAGAATTTCTCTCAAAGTTGCAATTTTAAGTCACCTTTCATTCAACTAACATTTATAAGCACCTGGCATTTGCCAGCCCCTGAGAATATAGACTCTACTAACAAAAGGGCCCTCCCAGCACTGAAGCATAATTAAAGCAGTTCTATTTTTTTTTATTCTTTATATAGTCCAAGGAATTGGTGGCATTAGATATTGTTCCCAAATACCATATGCTGAAATTGTGTCATCACAATTAAGTAATGTTATATAGATCATTTCTCTAGCAACTAAGAATATACTTGGTATTTGTGGTGAACTTTGATTTTCTTTTTTAAGAATTTTAATTAATCCCCAAATAGCAAGAAAAGTCAATTTCAACATAAAAGTTAAAATCATGGAGTAATAGAAGATATAATCTATCCCATATCCGTTGTCAGTAATGGATTATTCCTACCGCAGTTTTCGGCTTTTTTCCCCGTGGTTTTAATTATATTTGCTTTTTTTTCTGACCCAGCAGAGCTTCTAACATCACCCTTCAGAAAATCTGCAGCCTTTTTACCTCTCAGATGTGTGTATATTTCCCAAGAATCAATCTTAGCTTTTTTTAAAAAAATCCTTATCTATATTATTGAAATAGTAGCAATCCCTTATAATAATTACAAGAGGCTAAATGTTAATGATTTTGCAATAAATTCAGTTTTTTCTGCCTTACTTTCCTCAAAGTACAAGAAACTTTTGCTTTACAATGATAATAATTTCATTGCCCTTAAATATTTATTCATCACTGTCCTCTATACATTATTTTCCTATATTCAAACTACCCTATCTCCTCCAGTTCATCATTTTTGTCAAGTAGCTTTTATTTAGGCTGTAATCTATTTTTTTTTCTTTTCATAGAGACAGGGTCTCACTTCATTGCTCAGGCTGGAGTGTAACCGTGTGATCAGAGCTCACTGTAACCCCAAACTTCAGGGCCCAAGCTATCCTCCCTTCTCCATCTCTTGGCATGTTCCCTCATGCTTGAATAATTTTTTTATTTCTTGTGGAGATGGAGGTCTCACTGTGTTTCCCGGGCTGGCCTCAAATTCCTGGCCTCATGCAATCCTCCCACTTTGGCCTCCCAAAGTTCTGGGATTATAGGCATGAGCCAGCACACCCAACCTAGGCATAGCGTAAAATAGATAATCATATAGAAAATATCTGCATTTGACTCAGTTTTTTTAATAAAAAGGTATGCAAATTATCACCATATGTTCCTTTCTTTCACCATTGTGATGTAGTTGTAAAAGATGCTGAAAGGCATAAGTACTGTTATACAAGAAATTGCAGGTAACTTATTATTATAACACATCAACTCAGTGGATAGAATTCAAATTCGTACCCACACAGGACTCAGTTGCTTTTGAAGTGTACAACATCAGAGATTAATGTCAGGCTTGGTTGCCCATGAAATCTTTGTCCTTGTGGCTACTGAATCTCAATTTCACATTCAATGTCCTATCCCCTAGACTCTACGATAGCAATTAAAAAGGCACAAGCTACAACCCTGGCTCCAGTGAAAACACAGATGTGCCCATCACCCCCGGTTTTGTTTTATTTCACTGTGCTGTGGGTCTTTGTTTCACCACATGTACAGGCAACAGACCAAATTTCTACATTTCCATTCATATATTTTATAAAGGTCAAGCCAACTGATGTGTAGCAGAGGTATCTAATCCCTTCAGTTTGAAATGATCCTTAAAAATATGTTTCCAAATCCTGATCACCCACAGTTATAACTGCATTAAAAATACAACTTGTCATAGAGTCATGAAAACAGACTTTTTTTTTTTTTTTGCTGCACCAATACGTTCTATGAATATTTACTTTGTATGTCCTACATTGCAGATGTCATGGTGAGCACTGCAATAGGAATAGGACAAGTGAGACGCTGTCCCTGTTCTCGGTGTGACTGTAGACTCAGGGTGGGAGAAAGAACAGTGCAGGAGGAGGGGGAAGAGAAATCCAATGAATACGCTTCCGTTCCGTGCAGTGCAGTGATGGGGCTCCAGTATGCAAGAGCGCAGAATTTAAGGGAGCCAAAGGTGGGCCTTTCCTGTAGGGAGAAGATGAGAAAAGGATTCCAGAGGCACCTGATTCATAGCTGAACTTGATGAAGCAGAAGTGGTAGGCAGATGACAGAGGATGGGGAGAAGGAGAGTTCAAAACTGCAAGGAGTTCAGGGCAGCCACGGTCAGAGCATGTGAGATACCGGTGGGTTACAGACGAGCTATTGAAAGGTACAGAGGCCACATCCTAAAAGGTCTTACATGCCATGTTAAGGAGTCTGGTCTTCAATCTGAATTTTTAAGAAACCACTGAATCATTTCCAAGCCACAGGGCTTTGTAGTTAGGTTTGCATTTTAATCATCTCACATTAGCCATTTAGAGAAAGGACCGGCCATGATCAGACACGAGAGGGAAAAAGACTAGTAAGGAGGATGTGACAGAATTTCAGCCAAGACACAATTTGGTCCTGAAGTAAAACAGCGTCAATGGGATTGGAGATAGCAGATGCTTTTAGGAAATGCTAATGCAGTTAGTTCTTCAGGACTTGGCATCTGATTGGCTGTGAAAGTTGATTTTCAGGGAGAATTCTGGAGTGATTCACAGATTTCTCAGTTGGGTAGATGCTGGAAAGTAAGTTTTTATGGGTAACACAAATTTACATACCCCTGTACCAGAACAATACAGGGTGTATGCTTGTCTACTATAGAGACCTGGTTTAGACAGACTGCTTTGTACATGCTTATGCAAATCTATACAATATTTCCCTTTTTTTCTTTGAGCAGAGTGCTATGATCTCACTCTAGCAAGCTTCAGAGAAAATATCTGGGGTAGAAGCAGACCAGTGGAATTCCAAAGGGAAGCCACCGAGCGGTGATCATCTGACCTCATTCTTTTTTGCTTCTTGAGAATTGTCTCCTGGTTACTATTAACCAGCATCAGGAACATTGAGGAGAAAGTCTTTGCCTACACTCTCTGAACATCTGAGGTGGTAAAAAATGAAAATCGTCGTATTTCAGTCACGTTCTAAGGTAGGGGTTGGCAATCTATGGCCTGTGGCCTAAATCTGGCCTTCTTATTTCTGAAAAACAAATTTTATTGGAACAACTACACCCATTGCCCATTCATTTACTTAGCGTCTAAGGCTGCCTTCACACTTTAATTATAGAGTTGAGTGGTTGCCACAGAGGCTATATTACCCACCACGTCTAAAATATTTACTGGCTGGCCCTTCAGAGAAAACACAGGACCACTATTGTTTCATGGGATCATTTCACACATCAGTTCAGCGCTCACTACAACCAATACTAAGAATTCCCTTTGTTGGCCTGACTTGCATTTGGGTTCAACCATGTGACTAATTCTGATCAATTGGCAGCTGGTAGATGTGAGCCTTCTTTCCCCTTCTCTTACACCGCAGACGATGTGGTTACAAGATGAAGGAAGGTCATGTACCCCACACTGGGATTCATAAGAAGTTCAAGTAAACCTCCTTTATGTCCAGCCATTTATGCATAGGTCTGGGTGTGTCTGTCGTGTAGTCAGCATTATTTACCCTGACCAGCACAGAAGGAAATAGTTGAGAGAGGCAACACGGGTAGGTAGCAGAAGGGCTTCAACTAGAAGGCATAGTGATTTCTTCAAATCCAGAGGCAAGTGGATAGTGAGTGCCTCAAAGCACAAAGGACAGAGACAGAATTAAAGAGAAACCTACGTGAAGGAATGAAATAATAGAAGTAGGAGAAAAGAACAAAGAAATGGCGGCAATATGAAAAATGGAATTAAAGAGATGGATCTCGGATGTTTATGTTTTATTTTAATCATACTCATTTGTGATCTACTCAAATAGAATTCTGCTAAGCCCTTCAGTAGAAGGAAGAAAAAGTGTTTGTACAAACTCCCTGAAATCACAAAGGGAATTTGCCAACTTTCGACGTGTAAAATGAGTTTCCCCTGTGTTCCTGCGGCTCCTCCTTTCTAACACATCCCCCTCCGTGGAGGTCCAGAACTTCTAACACCCTCCTTTTCAAAGGACTTGCTTCTACGCAAATTTACTTAATAAAAGTTAGGAAACTGCAGCTCAAGGGCCAAATTCAGGCTTCTGTTTTTGTAAAACCTGTGAGCCACGAGTGGTTCCTGTATTTCTTAATTGCTGAAAAGAATAATAACACCAGAGACACATGAAAATTACATGCAACTCAAATTTTCCTGGTTATAAATAAAGTTTTACTGAGCCCCAGCCATGCCCATTCATTTCTGTAATGTCTCTGGCTGCTTTCCTGCTACCAGAGCAGAGTTCACTAGTTATTATAAACCTTATGAACCATAAAGACTAAACAATTTTACCATTTTACTCTCTGGATCTTTTTCTGTTTTCCTTTTTTTTTTTTTTTTTCTTTATGAGACAGGGTCTTGCTCTGTCTGTGCTGGAGAACAATGGCATCATCGCAGCTCATTGTAGCCTGGGCTCAGGTGATCTTCTTGCTTCCGTTTTCTAAGTAGCTAAAACCATAGTCATGACACCATGCCCAGGTAATTTTTCTCGTTTTAGTAGAGAAGGGATCTCTCTCATTCTCAGGATGGTCTCAAACTCCTGAGCTCAAGTGATCTTCCCACGTTGGCCTCCCAGAGTGCTAGGATTACAAGAGTGAGCCACCATGCCTATAAGCTATATGGTTC